TCGGCTGAAATTGCTACACCTTATTTTGGTGTCAATGATATGTCAACAGAGAAATTACAAGAACGTCGTGTACACGCAATGGAAATCTTTCGACAACAAAAAGAAGTTGTTGAACAACGACAACGACAACAATTACTTAAACAAATGCGTGAACAAGAATATGAATCACGTGCATTAGATGCTATGAAACAAGAGTATATTTTATCGTTTTTATTTGATTTATGTTTTCTTCCATCATCGTATTTCTTAATTTTTATTTTAGCTTTTTAGCTGACCGTCGTGAACGATTTCGTCGTGCATTTACAATACGCAAAGATCTTGAAACAGATTGGTCAAATGCTATGGATACAAAACATCAGCGTGATCAAGATGAAAGAGCACATGTATATGCAGCACAAGGTGTTCTTGTACATGAACAATGTGATCAATATAAACGTTGTGCTCAATGTCAACGTAATTTAAATAATTGTGGTACATCAAATATATGGAAAGATACACGATATATACCTGGAACACGTATCATGGTTTAAACAAATGAATTCGAACAATTTTTATTTTATTTTTTTTTTTTTTTGAAATTTAAAAGAAACTTATTTAGAAAATAATGTATCCGGTTATCCTAATTAACAAACAAAATTTGAACATTTTGTTATTTTAAAATGGGATATTTTATGTACGTTTCTTCTTCTTCATTCTGATAAATAAAATGATACCAAAAAAAAAAAAGTTCGAGAATATAATTATTATATACAGTAAGGCAGAATCAATACGGGTTATGTTGAATTTTTCCTTTCGTTTTCAACATCATTATCATAATAAAATCAACTGCAATGATTTTGATGCATACATGCATATGTTATCTGCATATGACATATGTGCATATCTATACGCTTTTATTCGTACATTACACTTTGCCTTTCATTCTTACGTAAATTCAATACATACGGAAGAAAAAAAAAGCAGGCGATAATGGATCAACCAAAGTTTAATTGCACATTCGATACTAACATCAATCGAGCATGCAATAAATATTCGACATATTTGTATAAAAGGATGAATGACAATAATATTTTGAATGAATAACGACGACAAACAGCTCAATAGATAATCAATATATTGTATATCGTCTCGATTTATATTCAGATTGTCTCGAGACAGGGGCAGACATGCGACAGCACTATTTCATTAAGATAAAAAGTCAGCCTTGATCTTGATGTGATAAAGTGCAAGACAAATCATTCATGCTCGACCAATTAGCACATTATTGAAGGTATGAACCGAAAATGAAAACGTGAACATTTGTATTTAGAAGTACGTAAGAAAAAAAGAAATGAGAAGCGAGAAGGGCACAAGCACATTTTATTGCATATAGGCATGTCTTCTCTTTTGTACATCATTATATAACGGAGAGAGTCCTAGTAAAAAATTATGAGAGTTGCTTTTGCTGTTCGTCCATTTCCAGCTAACTATAAACCATCATGTGATGCCAGTAAGAATATTCATTTATCGAAATCAACTGTAAATAACAATAAATTTCGATGATTTATTTTCTTTCAGCTTTATCTGCTGCACCTACTTCGAATTATCCTTTACGAACAGCTTCATCAATTCCAATCACTCATACACAACAACGTCAATCAACTATAATATATGTTAATGGTCTTCCGTATATAGTTATTCGTTTAATCGGTGAAGGACTTCATAGTCGAGTTTATGCAGCATATGATCCTCGAACAAATCAATCTGTAGCAATAAAAGTAGTTCAAAATATTGATCCAATTGATAGTCATGATCATTCAAAAATGTTTTTTAAAGAAATACGTTATTTAACAAAATTACAAGCACGTAATCCATATGTTATTCGAGTTTATAATCATGAATATGATAGTAAAGCACAGACGGGTAAAATTGTTATGGAAACTGGACATGATTTTCGTTTTATGTTACCATTACAAGCATCACCCAAAGAAAAGAAAATGACAATAGCACAAGCAAAATTTTATTGGTCTCAAATGGTTGACGCTGTTGCCATACTTCATCGAAATGGAATTGTTCATTCAGGTAGAAAAACATAAGTAAAACTTTATCATTGTTATAAAATGTTTTGTAGATATTAAACCAGAAAATTTCATTTTGACACCTGGTGGACAACTTCGTATTATTGATTTAGGTCTTTCTTTTCGTATGCCAAAAACAGAAACATCTGTCTTAAGACCATTTGCAGGTGGAAATATTTAAATTTTCTCTTTTATATTTTTAAAACCATAATAAAATATTCAAGGTACACCTGAATATATGCCACCAGAAGTATGTCAGATTCAAAACGGTCATTATTCTCGTCAAGGTCGAGCATCAGATATTTGGGCATTAGGTTAGTTTTTATTTTATTTAGAAACAGAAAAATTCTTTTTTATTTCTTTCGTAGGTGTTCTTCTTTTTGAAATGGTCTTTGGTTATCGACCATTTGAACATGTTCAAGATAATTTTGATAAAATGTCTCATATTGCTCAATTAGCAGAAACTCCAGTCATACCACCAACAAATAATTCTCATCTACGTGATATTCTTCAACAATGTTTACAAATAAATCTAGAACGACGTCCTACTGCTCAGCAAATTTTACAACATTCTTTTTTTAATTTTGAAACTAATTTATAAAAAGAATTAATTGAATCATGTTTCATTGTTGCTCTTTTTTTTCTTACTTTATATTAAATAGATTAATGTCTATCATTCATAAAAACTTTTCTATGGCTTTTCGAATATATTTCAGGTTAGTTTATCATTTATAATGAGTTATACACAAGGAATATAAACAGTATCTACTAATAAAACAAAACAAAAAATAAAAAAAATATTGGTGCAGCCTCTTTATGGCTGACACATGGAACTCACATATCTTCGTTAGTTTCATTATAATAATTCAAAATAGGTAAAGTGTAAAATTCCTAAAGGACGATAGATATTTTTTGCAACTAATTATAATTGATTGTCAGCCAATGCTTTCTTTTTTATTTTTCCATTTCGAACAGAAATTGGATTATCTTTTTTTTAATTCTATTTTCAGACTTTATTATTATTAGTCTAACAACTGATTTAATTGATAAATAAGCTTGTTATACATATTTGTTATATCTACTGAAATCTCGGTGAACTCAGAAAGACTAATATTGATTATTTTTTTAAAGCTGAAACTTAATCAGTTCATGTTTTTGTGTTGACCATACAACATTAGGGTCATTTAGCACATTTGATTTCGTTTGCTATGATCTATAATAATAGAAGGAGGATGAGTAGAGCGTTGAGCCGAGAAACTTTGGCTGAAAACTATTGATACATACAGGAAAAAATAGGAATTCAAGTTGACGTTATATTTCCTATTATATGAATTTCTCGATTTTGATGATATTTATTGTTGTTGTTGATAAACAAGTCTATAAGCTGCAGTACTAATAACATTATCTTCATCAACATCTAATACTTTTGAATCATCAAATGTATCCCATTTTTGGTCAATAGAATTTTTTTCATGTGTTGTATAATGTTCTTCACTTAGACTTCTGATATGATTACAAACAGCAATTAAGGCATATTTTGCTGTCGCTTTTTCAACTGGATTTAGAACAAATTGTGATAAATCTAAATCATGACTTGAGCAATCAGTCAATGAATCAATTATATCACGAAAATAACCAGTATATATAGAACATTTCAATTTGATAATTAAAACTTTTGGCGAAAGTCATAAGTCAATTTTTTTTATAGTCTCATTTAATGCATTACATTGTGAACAATTCCATAGACTATCACCAGATAATGCTTTCTTTTTTTGTCAAATATTTAAAACCATTTAATAATGTTATTGCTCGTTTTTGTTGATTACGTGTTTGAATACTGAAGTCAATTGATGAAGGATGATCTTACCCAAACGCTTTTCTTCTTCTTGCTTTTTCTATTTTTTCACAATAGGTAGTGCAGCATCGACAACAAGTCTTGTATTTCTATCATTAAAATCAATAGAATCATTAAGATAATGATTTTAGTGGTTCCATTGTTTGAATAGAGTTTTGAATGAATAAGAATGATGCAGTATAATATGAGTTATCTGATGAATCAATTGAAGGTAATGGAAGAAAATCATCAATTCTTTTCTATAAAATGAATCATAATCAATAGATGTTAAAGTATCTCAGTGGTTGAGAATTACACTTATTTTTACCTGTAATTCTTCTTGTATATCTCTTCCTACACAGTTATGTCTTAGTATATTAAGATAAAATGGTAAACTAAAGTTTTGGTGATTTTGATCATCTTCTCGAAATACACATGGCATTAATATTTTATCATTGTCATTCATATACTAAATGAATTTGATGATTGTTAATTTCAACAGTTAAAATATGATCTGATTTGGGTTGATGTCCATCACAATCTAATGCCTTTGTGAAATCTTTTTCTTCTTCTTCTTCTCCTTCGTCTTGATTTGTTTCATTGAATTCAGATCCAGCATCTGTTTTTTTTTTCATCTACATATTGATCCAAAGACACGCTTTGATGCTTGGTATTCGAGACATTATGTAAAAGATTTGATTTGCTCAGCAAATATATCATGAATTTTTGATCGACTTTCTTTTCGATAATCATCCTCTTGTACAGGAGCTAATGTTGAATTATCAACTTTTTCATCATCTTTCTTCGCTATATTTGGTTTCTATTTGAAAAGATTTAGATCTTCATGTAAACCATCAAGTAGAACTGACATCAAATCTTGTGAATCTTGTTGTTTCGAATCACTAAATTGTGTTGCACAGCTTGCGACACATTTTTTTCCAAGATTTTCGTTGATAAAAGTTTGTTTTACTTGACCACATTTTATGTATTACTTCACCATATACTAGAGCAATTTTACCTTTTTTACCTAATGGATTATCACAATTTATATGTTCTCTTCATTCATCACGAAGAAAATATTCTGTTAATGCTGAAACATTTGATGTACATTATAAAACTGAATTCATGAAATTAGTTTCATCCGAATTCGATAAATCACAAAGTCCAGGAGTGTAATGTATTTTCCATGTAGAAAATGACGAAGCATTATGTGTTAATGATGCTCTGGGTTTACATGTAATCAATGTATTTTTTGTTAAAACAATATCTTCAAGAGTTAAATCTGATGGTTCATCAATGAGTTTCCAATTTAAATCGCTTTGATTCAATGATGAATATGAATGGTAGCTTGAACTTGGTGTAATAAGATGTTCATTACAAATATTGCTTTTTATTTCTTCTATTTTAGTTCGATGCCTACGATACATTTGTTTTGTTTTCGCATTGAAACATCTTGATTCACAAAATCGTGATAGTACAAGAAATGTTTCAATTATAATTTGATATTTATCTTGTGAAATAGCTTTACGAATTATTTCAGGACCAATTTTATCATATATCCGTGCTAAGTCTTTATAGAGTTCATATACAATAAAGGCGAAATCATTTCTTTCAATAGCATATGAACAAAGTTGTATTTCATTTCAACTATTCAATGTTGTTGGATCTGGTTCAGTGACTTCGTCTTCATTTGCGTTTTCGATACCAACAAAACGTTTCCAATGTTCTAACCATCAAAATCAATAATTACATATTTGTGATTGACTTGTGGCTCCTTTGTAAGAAATCTTTCATGTTTTTCCAATGGATTAGACGACATTACGATATTTATCACGTTTCTCTTTTATAAAAGTAAAATAACGTACAAAATCGTTTAACATCAGAGCAATGGATTGTTTGAAGTAAAGAATGTTATGATATGAAAAAAATAAAAAAATAAATCTTAGATACTGACGCAAAATAACGACAGAAGGCAATACACTCGCGCAAGAATCGTAAAAAGTAATATTTACATCATCATAGTGATACTTTTAGTGGCAAAAAGTCCATATGAAGCCTTTTTTCTTTTGTTATATCCTTTTTAAATGATTATGAACAGAGACATATGAACAAATACATGCAAACAGAACGTAAAGGTGGCAATGGTGATTATTAATATAAAGAATGTAAGAAAAAAATTCGTTCACTAGATATGTATATAATTTGTTAAAGAATCTCTTCACGGCAATTTCAAGGTAAGATGTCGAAAACTTAGCCACTTTCCTCGAATAAAAGTGTATATTTCATTTTTTTCCGATTCTAAGTTTTTCGTATTACATGCTCATAAGAATTGTAATAAAATGTGTCGCTTTACTCGATTAACATAAATTTCATCAACACCTTATTCACATTTACATGATATTCGTCGGGATGCAATTTGACTTATATTTCCTATAAATCCTCTGGTGTGGGTTTGGTTGTGGTTATCGATCATCTCTTCACACCCATATCCTCTCAAGCTTGTCTGAAATTTGGACCGATTTTACTCTTGTAGCACTTGAATGATGATGATGTTATATTTTAATATCCTGATAAATAATTTTTCTATATTCAGTCATTCCCAATGGTTGAATAACGGAATTCTGGAATTCAGAACTCCTTATGTTTCTAGTATTCTCTTGAATTTATCACAATTATGGGTGTAACAAATCCAAATCTTTGGGATTTGATGTAGAAAGGTGTGGATTTAATTTAGACTTGGATTTGGGTTTGGTCTCAAATTACTCAAATCCGGTGAAGCGCTGTAAGATAGAGTACCAAAAGAATGAAAAGAATCGAAAGTCTTCAGAAATGATAAGAAACGGTTTGGATTTAATATAGATCACCATAGTATTTCATATAAGTACCTCGTTTTCCTTTTTTTTGTTCGTTTATGTCCGTACCTATATGTACATATCGATGGCTAGCTTATTGTTTTTGATTCAGTTTTGATACTTAGGATTACCTTATCTCTGCTGCAAGCGCAGCAATTGAGTCTGTTTGTTCGTTAATCTATCAATAAATTCAGATCAATTTATACTAACAGAGCTCTAAATACATAGTAGTACCAGTGAGTTTTTTATTAATGACTAAAATTTAACATGATTTGATAATAAAGATTATCTATTTAGCGTAACAGTATTCAGAAATGTTCGCACCGCTTAGTTGAGATTGCATCAAAAATACACAATAGCCTCTTAAAATATGAAAGAGAGCGTTCCATATCGCGTATAAAATTGACATGTACTGCGCTTGTGTATAGCAACATTTACGATTATACTTATTTTAAGATGATATGATTTTAGTTATACTACAGAGAAAAGATACTAAAATGAGATGAATACACACAGAGTGTCGTCAGATATTATTGTCAACATATATTGCAAATTAATAGTATACAATTCATCATATACAAATACGAAAATCCTAAGAAGGTGGGTGTGGGTGTGACTGTGCGGTGTGGGGATGTGTGCGCGCCCACAGAGAAAAAAATCTGCCGCTACTATGAAGATAGTAAAACACAATTCGTCTAAAACGGTTTCCATGACACACTTGAAAATCAGTCTGTTGCAATAGCCCAAAGTATTACTAACCAGGGCCGCGCCGCTATCGCGGTGATCTTGTGAAAAAAGATGCCGCGGCAGGGGCAGCGCCGCGATGAGCATCTCTGATACTGAAATCAGTTTAGAATGCATCTAATCAGAAGAATGTGTCATTTGCTATTGAGTTTTTAAACCATAATTCTTCTGTAAGGAAAAACACAATCACTATTATTTGTTGGCGCAGCATTTTGTTCAAAATCAAAAATCGTTCTTTTTACTGTTTATTTTTATTTCAATACAAATGGAACGAATAAATATATTCTGTTGATACTCGAGCAATCTGTTGATCAAACTTTGATTTTGTTTGTCGTCATCTTCAATCGAAATAAGTTATTTCGTTGATTCTTTACGATGAATATATTCCTGATCGAGTGAAACTTTTCCTCCATCGATATACCCGTATTCGTTTCATTACTATCAATCAGAAATTATGATGCTGATGATTATTATACAAATTATATTAGTCAAATGTTGTCTCGACAAGAGAAAGTACTAACTCATTTAAAAATCGATAGCAAAGATCTACAGCATCTTATTAACACTCACTTTCCAACTCGTACCTATTTGATTATTAGTAGCAGAGATGTCCATCGCAACTGAGAATCTGCCGCTGCCGCGATGGTATTCAAAAAAAAAATATTTTGGTTTTTCAGGTTGTGATTGGTTTCAACTAGAACTGCTGCTGATAATTGATCCGATTCGTTAAGTCTTATAGCATAGTATACATGAATATGGAGATTCTGTGCAAATCCATGAATTTTTGAAATTTTTTCCTAACAAAGCTGCCGCTGCCGCGGCGGCATTATAAAAAGCTCTCCAGCGCCATGATGGTTTTTGAAGAAATCTGCCGCTCCCGTGGCTGGCAGCGCCGGCATGGACATGTCCGATTGATGGAAGATGTTATTATGACAGTGAATATATCGGTATGTCTTCTCCATTGGACAATACCGATGTTCATTCGTTAATTGAACAATGAAAATGTTTTCTGACTCATTTTTATCTTGTTATCGATAATAAAAGTCGATATTCGACATTTAATCTTAAATGATTCTCTGATTCTCTCACTCATCTTACATTACACTTTTACCAAGGTAACGAAAACTAATGAAAAGTTGATTTTCATTGTCTATCTGATACTGTAGGTATTGCAAGTATCATTTGCATGTCTTGAACAATGTCTGATTAAATTGTCTCAATTGATAAATTTCACTTGTCAAGCAAGTGGTCCATGAGATTTAATCGATGGAAAATGATGGGAAGAAATACTTTTGAAAAAACGAATTATTCGATTTAATTTCAAATTCGAGTGCAATCCTAATGGAAAAATTTCATCCATACTCGAATTATTTCGTTCATCATTTTGGCTTGAACAACGACATTGGTATGTAGGATGTTATCAAGATAAATCGAAGACAAACACAATTGTTTATTCAATTTCTCGATTTTCGATACGTATTCTTGATTATCCATCAATTGACTTTCCACACATGACAACAGCACCATTGAATATTCAAGAAAAATTTTTCTATTCAAGCAAAATCGTTCGTTTCTCCTGTGATATGAACCAAGTGATGACATCAGTCAGTTATCGTTTCAATCAAATGAAATCGTTGGTACTTTCCGGTTCATCATTATTATCATTGAATATTCTCTCATCGATTGTTGATCTAGAGAAAATTTAATATCTCGAAGTTGCTGATATTGATCAATTGTTACCTGATGAACTTGATCATTTTATTGCTCATACTCCTTGCGCCACTCGTTTCTCAATGAAATTCGATCCATTATTCATTATACCTTCACAAATTCGTTAGCTGCTACTGGAAGGTCTTGCTCAATCGATTTCTCTTGATAGGCTTTATTATACAATATCATCCCTTGAAAGGCTGGAGATATGCATAGCATCAAAACAAATGATTATTGATGTTATTGATCGATTCAATGGTCTGGACAATCTTGATATATTCTTTGATGATGGAGATCTTGATGATAATTGTATGACTATTTATATAGGTCTCCCAAATGATTGGTTAATCAAACATACGCATCGTCTCAAGTCACATGATTTTACCTGTCAACATTCGGAATTCTACCCATCGATTTACTTGTCATTTGGCGATAGACGAAAAGAAAATGACATTTAGAATTAAGAACATCATTCATATGTTGTTTTTCTTTTTTGTTTACGAAAGATTAGAGAAGAAAATAAATTTTCATCTAAAATACTGAATATTTAATGTATACATGCCTAGGACTGAACAGAGGTGGGATCGGTTGGCATTTTTGCCAAACCAAACCGACCGTAATCGAAAAAATCTCTAACCGAACCGAATGTAACCGATCGAATATTTAAAAATTTCTAACCGAACCGATCGTAACCGACCGAATTTCAAAAATTTCGTAATCGAACCGAGTTTAGAGAAAGCGAAGTTTAGCTTATGTTAATTAGGGTATTAGTGCTTTATAAATTAGCAACAACAAATCGAACAGTAGCAACTATGAGCAATCAACATCTAGAGAAAGTAACGAAGAAAGATTATTTATTGAATCCTCTTACTGTATTATAACTTTCTTACCTCTCACAACAAATTTAAAAAACATGTGAGATAATACAAGTTACGAACAACAGCTAATTGTTGTACGATTACACTCTTTTTTCTTCTTATGTCTCAAAAAGTCCATCGAACTCAAATCAAAAGATTATGTCGATTCTTTCTAACCGAACCGAACGTAACCGAAAAAATCCTTAACCGAACCGAACGTAACCGACCGAATTTTTTAAAAATCTCGAATCGAATCGATTTCGGTTACGGTCGGTCGGTTCGGTTCGGTTAAAAACCGAACCGGTCCCATCTCTGGGACTGAATCAGGTCAATAAAAGTGATTATTTATCTGAGACTTCTGACTCTACTCATCAAACAAAAATCACTGAGTGTAAACTTGTAATACAAACATCTCCATTGTGAGAGACAAAAAAAATAACATTAAATGAAATCATGTATGGTCATTATGTTGACTAATAGTATTGTTTTTATCGCCTTAGAAATTCAAATCAAAAATTTCATATACTAATGATTTTTAAGATAATCACATGCAGTAACTTATCTATATAAGAGAGACTTATTGACGATGAGATACAAAAGTTTTAAATTTCGAAGGTTAAAAGGACACAATTAAGTCATTTAGTGAACATACAAAA